AAAATAAAATAAAATAAAATAAAACAAAACATGGATGAATCCACGGTCCTCAGTCCTGCCTGGAGGCAGACGGATGTGGGAGATGACCTCTCAAGGACCTTCACCTCAAGGTCAGTAGTGTTTCTTCCTTTCCCTTCTTGGGCTGGATACAAACAGTTGAGATATTGAGTGTGTGTGTATGGGGTGGTGTTCTTCCTCACCCTCAGGCCTGTTTAGCTCCACTCCCCTCGTGAAGCTCCTCCCAGTGACCCCGTCTCAGCTATGTCTGGAGCTGGATTCTGGGCTGGGCCCAAGCTGGGTCCCAGGCACCTGTCCTTTGGAGAACTTGGGGTAAATGAGACCTCAAATCCAGTCTTTATCCAAAGGACTCGGGCCAGATACGTCCCAAATTCAGAATTGTCATGATTCTAGAAAGGCGATCCAGCAGACATAGGCTATGTTGTGGGATAGCCTGAGTGGGGTCTAGGGTGGTACCCCTTGTCCAATACACTCAACTTTTAGAGAACTGTACGAATATCCACTCTAAGTGGGATACATAGACTAAAAGAAGACTCATGTCAGAAGACTGAGGTCAGGTTTTGCAGCCAAAACAAACAAACAAAACCCTATGGTTTTCAGAGCTCTTTGACTTCAGAACTGAAGGCCCTGGTTAGGATCCCTGTTGGCACTGACTAGAGTAGGTACTGAGGAGAATGGGCCATGCTGGTCAGGGCCGGGCAGGTGGGCATTTTTATGTTTGTTGAATGAGACTTTCAAGGCTGTCAATCTCTGGTGTAGGCCAAGAACATAGGCTTTGGAGGTGGGCAAACGTGACGTGAAGCCCTACCACTGTCATTTGTCATGGACCGGCTGCGACTCAGGGCACATTAACCTCCCAGAGTGAGCTTCCTCATCTACAAAAGGGGCATACCCGTAGTAGCATTCTGGGGATTAAATGAGATGATAGAAGTAGGAGGGCCAACGCAGGGAATGAGCAGAGCAAGCGTTCAGAAGAGGAAGGGAACGAAATTATTCTTTCGTTTAGAACTATTGCACCTGCCAGGATTTCTAATTCTCTCTCTAAACTCCCAGAAGGGGGCAGGAGCCCAGATGCTTTCCTCCTTCTGGCCAGTCTCAGGGGAGGGTCTTGCACATTCTTGGATCCCACAGCACTACCCCATAGCCCAGCACCCTTGCCAAGATAAGGGAGAAAGCTGATTGATTCCTAAAACAACTACTGGACCTTCTGAGCTGTGCGCCCCTGCCCCCACCCCCACCCCACCAAGAAGGAAAATCCCACAGACCTTCTGTCCGCATGTACCTGATCCCGGTTCTTCACCAGCTCAGAGCTCAGGTTGCTCAGGCTCATCTGGGTCTCTGTGATACTGTAGGAACATCTGGAGAGGGCCTCTGCCAACTGGAAGACAGAAAAAAGGGCAGACCCCCGGGGGGTCCTCAGCTCAGGGTTCTTTTTTTTTTTTTTTT